GCCCTCCTCTCCACAATGATCAGTCACTCAACCAAATCACATATAATGAATTACACTAAGGCTGATATTTCTGGATATTCTTCTCACTACAAACTGTCTAGATGTTACTAATTATAGTGTTAAGAATCACAAACAAGAAATGCTATGAAATGGCTCAAACACATGTATGAATACTTGTTCTGCACACCGCCATCTTAATAAACTTCCACTATAATCACTGGAGTAGAATCTTCATGATTTCAGTAAGTAACCAGACATTCTATCCGTGAATATCTCTAGATATTTGGTTTAAGCTCAAGCCTTGACTGTTTGCCACATACCTTGTCATTAGCAAAATTAAAACTAATTTTGCTGAAATTTAAAATATCTGAATACTTTTTAAAAACCTAAGGATTCCTTGGCAAGTCTCTGCCTCTTAATGAGCTGTTCCTGACTTTATCATGTGATATGAATTATTCAAAAGTCAATCTCGGGCCGGCCAACTGGCTCAGTTGGTTAAGAGCTCGCTCAAAGGTTTGAGCTCTGAGCAACAGCGGTTCAATTCCCGCCCCGAGCTGAACAGCCGCTGAGCTGGCAACAGGTGGCAGGATGACTCAGCTTAAAAAAAAAAAGTCAATCTCAAGCCCTTAAATATACAAATTATCATTCAATCAAGCAATTACTTGCTGTCTGTCTGATGGCTAACAATGTCTAATTTGACCTAAACAAATTCTGAAAAATTGTGCTCAAAATAAAACCATCAATACACAATGTATTTCTAATATAAGAAAATAAACAAGGGCAGGTCAAGTGGTTCAGGTGGTTGCGAGAGAGCTCAAGAGTGCGAGCTCTGAGCAACAGCATCCCTGGTTCGATTGCCGGCCAGAGCTGCGCTGCCATTGAGCTGCCAACAGGTGGCAGAATGGCTCAGGAGAAAAAAAAAAAAGTTCTCTTCGGGCCGGCAGGCTGAGCGGTGTGGCGCGTTGGTTAGGAGTTGGCTTGGGACGCCAGCTCTGAGCAGCAGGTCCCTGGTTTGGATCCCACATTTTAGGGTCAGTGACGCTGTGCGCTCTACAGCTAAGATGGTGAACAACAGCTCGACCTGGAGCTGGGCTGCTGTGAGTCACCGGCAACGGCTTAGGCTGCAGTGGGGCTGGCCGGCAGCTGGCGTGAGCTTTCGTGAGCTGCTGTGAGCCACAGTGAGCGGCCGTCCAATGGCCAGCGAGGGACTGCCTCACCCGGGAAGAGCGCAATGATAATACCAACATGGGCCAGTGCAGCAACGTCCTCCACAACTAGACTGAAGAACAAAAGGACAGCAACTTATCTGTTCCCCTTTCCCGATTCCCCAATAAAATATTTAAAAATAAATAAAATAAAGGAACATTTTTATTCCACTCAGCAGAGAAAAAAGCAGCCTGGATTTCATGGATATCAATTTCAAGCATTTTACATAGTGGAACCAATATTAAATATTTTTGCCTGAGTCTATGTTCACCTCAGAAGACCATAACATAGTTTACCCTTAATTACATTATTTCATCACTTGTTTCTTCTCCCATTTCTATGATCTAATAAATATGCTTATAACTGGAACTTAGGGACTCTCTGCACTCTCCAATCCCTCATCCTCTAATATCAAAACTCTCAATCAATATTTATCCAGCAGTTCTCCATCACCACAGGGAAAGAAAAGAAATTGGTTCAAATTGCACAGGGAGCCTGAAAGCAGGATAGTGCTTAGGGAAAAGGATGAAAAACAGGCATCATAAACATGAATACAGGTTTCTCAAGGACTCTGTACAATCTTCCCCTGTGAAAGACATCCAACTAAAGGAAAGATAGTCTTGAAATGTGTATTATTCTTCAAGCACTCTATTCTCCGGACACTATAACCTCCTTGGTTTTTCTCCTCCCTTTCTGGGCCACTGCTCCTCAAGTATGCTTTGCAGACTCTTCTTCTATCTGTCCTTACTCACTGGGGTTTTGTACTAGAGGATTTTATCTCCTAACTCTAAACACTCTCCCTGCACTGCCTCAAACACACCCAATGACTTCAATTACCACTTTGGGTACAGCTAATATTTCCTAAATCTGTATCTCCAGGTTATAACTCTACACATTTACTCATTTACAAATACTTATTAAATCCTCTGCTAGGTGCAAACCACTGCTCTAGGCACTGAGGCACTGTTGGGCTTGCAAACACATGGGAAATGAAGAAAGAAAGAAATACTGAAAATGTCAGTCAATAATAAGTACAACCTACAGAGAACAGAAATCAGGGTTATATTAAAGACTGAGCAGCTACTTTTGATTAAGTGACTGAAGAATGACTGTACACAGCTGATATTTGAAATGGATGTAAATGACCAGCAGAGGTCAGCCATGTGTAGAAGTACGCCTTGGAAAGAGAAAGCAACTGGAGCAAAGGTCCTATAAGGAGAACAGGTATTTTCGAAGAACCAAAAGGAGACTGGTTTGCCTGAAACATATGAGCAAGTTAGAGAGTGAAAGCAGGGAGCTCAGGGAGAAGGTCACTGCAGTAACCCAGCCACGAGATGACGCTGTCTCACAGAACAGTACAGGCACAGCTCATTTTATTGTGTTTCGCTTTACTGCACTTCACAGATACTGCATTTTCATCAACTTTCTGGCAAGACCCTCCCCCAACAAAACATTACAATCTCTGAAGGCTCAGATGATGCTTAGCATTTTTTAGCAATAAAGTGTTTTTTAATTAAAGTACGCACATTTTTAGACATAATGCTACTGCACGCTTAACAGACTACATATAGTTTATACGTATCTTTTATATGCACTTGGAAACCAAAAAATTTGGTTTCCATTGCAGTGGTCTGGACTAAACCCACAATATCTCCAAAGTATGTCTGTAGTATATCCAACTGCCCACACCAGTCGTCTGTTGAGATGTCAGTCCCAGAGGCACCTACAATTTAGATGTCCGAAACTGAATTATCATCTTCTCATTAAAGTATACTCTTATCTAGTTTTGGTACTCCTAATTTTAGAAGTCAATGAAATCATCTACACAATTGCCCAACCCAGTTACCAGGTACTGTCCATTCCTTAACTGTCTCCTTCACTCCCCCGAATTCAATCACCAAGCCTTAACTACTCAGCTCCTAAATCTCTTGAGTTCATCTACTCCTTTAAAAAAAATAATTGCCATTAGCCTGGTCTAGACCCTCATTTGAATCACTACCTCCTTTGCAATCTGTTTTCCAGCTGGCAACTAGTTATCTTTCTAAAATCTTAAATCTAATCAAGTACTTCCTCTAATAGATTCCCACTGCCTACAAAACAAAGTCCAAACTCCTGAACAAGACCCTGATCTCACTACTGTTGACTCCTAAATTTCATCCCTTGACTTTCAAAACTACCAACCCCACCACCAGGTCCTCCGCTCACTAGTCCACACCATATTATTTGCAATTTTACCTTCTTTTGCTACCATTAATCACACCAATACCTACTTTTCTTTCAGGTCCCTTAGGTATCATTTCCTTATGGAAACCTTTCCCAACTACTCAAGACTCAGTTAGGTGTCCCTTCCTTATGCTTTTGCAGCACACAGTATTTCCTCTATCACAGTACTTAATCTATAGTATTATATTGGTTTGCTTAATTTTCTGTTTTAGCAATAAAGAGACTATAATCTCAGAGAGTCATCCTCATTTGCTACCATATAAAAAATACTCAATAAATACTTCTTGACAAAATTAATGAATAAATGAATAAAGGACTTCCTTTTAATGCTGCACAGCAAACTAGACAGCCTGAACAAAATCTTTTCAAAGGCATTGCTAAACTAGCAAAAAAATGTCCAAAGAGGGCACAAACAAAGGAAAAGCAGGGCCTCTATAGAATAAGCGAGCACACCAAAGCCAGCTCTTTCTCTGGTGATTTCTGTCGAAGCTTAGACTCTTTGAGCTTCATCATGGCTGCAAGGGACTTGGGCGACGAGAGCCTAGGACTAGCTCTGCTCAAGACAGCGAGCCTAACAGGAGATACTCAGAAAAAAAGCTACATACATGGTGTAACTGTGAACTAGAACTAATACACACAGAAGGGAAGCATATCTACCTATGCTTTGCTGTTAAGTAGTGGGGAGGGAAAAAAACTCCCCTGAACATCATAAAGACTAGTCAGCCCCCATGCAAGTTTGCAGTCTGAATTCATGCTATCAATGTGGTCTAAAAAATGTAAAGCAAAGGATTTAATTTAATGTGATCCCAAGTTGTGTTCCCAGCAGCTAAGAGGCAAAAGCAAACTCTGTGCAGAACCACATCTTCAATCCAGAGACATCAAATAGTTCCAAGATATAAAACAGCATGGAAAATGAGCAACTCTCAGTTAAAAAAGACACAAATATGGCATCATGAATCAGATCAAGAAACATAAAAAAATAAAGTGAGAACCAAAAGATATAAGACAGTATAATTTTCAGTCATAGAATATAAAATAGCAATGTTTAATATGGCTAAGTATAAAAGAGAAGTTTGAAAATATAAAAGGAACATGAGACGAACCAAGTAAAGGGAAAAATACTTCCTGGAAATTAAAAATATAATCATTAAAATTAAAAGCACAACATTTGTATCAACCAGCAAATTAGAAGTAACTAAAGAGGGAATTAGTGAACTAAGCAGACCTAAAGAAATAATCCAGAATTCAGGCCAGAAAATATGACAGAAAATATAAAATTCAGAAATAGAAAATACGACAGAGAAGTTTAGAGGCATGGAAAATAAAACAAGACGTAATATATTTCTAATTAGAGATCCAAAATGAGATAACAGAAAAATGGGAAAGATATTTGAAGGGATAGTGACAGAGATTGTAGAATTCCAGAATTGCAGAAAAACACCAATAAGATCAGTTTACAGATAAGTTCTAGCAAACATTCATGGAACAAATACAGAAAAAAATTGACTTTAAAAGATGTATACATACCTGCTTCATCCAATGATGGTACTTTTTCCACTCTGAGAGTTTGTGATCCCTGTCCTTCTTTCTGAACATTTGTAGAGTACAGCTTTACTTGACTCGGCGTACAAAAGTATGGATGACTACAGGGAACCATGTTTGAAAAGCTTCCAAATGTCACTAAATTCTGCCATTCTAAAAGAAAAAAATTTACTTTAATTTCATACAAATTCACAAGGATTTTTATACCAAATAAAACATACCTACTATGGATTACAAAGAGAATGCTTTTACTGAATAACAGTAAAACTTTTATACTCAACACACCCAAATGTATAATGCCAAGCTACCCTCTCCACTGGAGGTGTCTCACTGACCCTTGGGTAAACAGGGACTAAAATTTATAAAAAAAATAAGAATATTCCTATTTTCTCTAATTTATAGATTTATTCATATAGAAACTTTAAATATATATATATATAAAATCAAATAAAACCTTCATATTATTCAGCTATTCTGAAAGGTGTCTGGCATATAATACTTTTTTATTTTGTATGCTGGTTACATGTCCAAAAAAATACTGGCATAATGTACTTTTCAGAATACAGAACTCTTGGGATAGGAGGAGGTCAGGAGGGCTTCCTACTCAAAATTCCCATATACCGAACTACTCAAAATTACCCTGTAACCTCTTTCTGCAGCTGGAGATTTATTCCTCTCTCATTTCACAATCAATAGGTGACTTATTTTAATCAGTCATTCATACTGCTACTGATTTTTAAAAATCAGATTAGCCCAACATTTGATGAAATGCCTCAGTATATGGGAATTTTAATGGACGGAATAGATTAATTACGAAGCACTTCAGCTACTCCATCTGGGCTCACTGTGGACTTTAGAGGGCTGAAATACAAAAGAAAAACATATTCCACGCTTGCACAATAGTGGGAGAAAAGCAAATCTGTCTGTTCTACTCTAATGCGACCCTTGTTCTTTCATTTTTTGTATGAGTTCCTAGAATTCTCCCTTCTAAAAGAATTCGAAAACCCTTTCTAGATATTTTCTAAAGTTTTAGGTGTAATAGTGAAAGCATATCGTTAGAGATAATATTTTCCAAGAGTAGCAGGTTAAACATCTAAGAGTTGAGACTTTACTAAATGCTTAATAATGATCTCAAAAAAAATGTTAGTTCCTGTGCAGATATATGCCTTTTAAAATAAACAAGCCTTATCTTAATATCTCAGAGAATTCATCAGGAACGTAAGTTATTTTAAATGCTAAAGACAATTTGAAAAGCATGAGGGACATAAGGCAGTATAGATATGCACTCAAATTTCAGGCTTGGAACTTGTTTTGTTAAAAAACTTCCTGATGTCAACTTACTCTTTCATTTATCTGGCAAATAATTGTTGAAGGCCCAGTATGTTTTCTGACATTTGCCTCTATTTCTTAAAGGCCAAGAAAAGCAAACATAACTGTATTTTCTTGCACATTAAAATATGTAGGCTACTAGCAAAATTAATTAGTGAAGCAAAGGCTAAAGCAAATTCTCCCAAGAAACCAAACCTGCAGGGAAAAAAATCTTCTTCACCATGGCCACTGGCATTCTGACCTGTCAGCCCTATTCAAAATATCTTTTGTGATTATTACATAACACAGACAATATGCCACAATACCTTTTTTCACCCACCAATGAAATCCTTTTATAGAGACCGTGCTAAAGTTTTTACAGAGGGATTACTCCACAGTCTTAAAAAATCCTTCTTCAGGAGATGACAATGTTTCTATGACTTGATCCTACAATTTTTTCAAGGTTCTCCTCAGATTTTAAATCATTTTATTACAAAAAATTTCAAACATATGCAAAGGTAGAAAAACAGTACAATAAACATCTACGTACCTATTGCCCACCTTCAATAATTATCAACTCATGGTCATGCTTGTCTCATCTCTCCCTACACCATTATCTCACCTCCATATTAATTTGATGCCAAGTCTCAGACATAAAGTAATTTCATTCATAAACATTTCAGTATGTATTCTGAGACAAGAACTTTTAAAAATATAGCCACACTATTATAAATAAAAAAATAAACAATTCCTTAATATCATCAATTTCCAATTTCCAGTTGTTACAAGTGTGATAATTTTTGTGTGTGAACAGATCCTAACAGGATCCACATATTGCAACTGGTTCAGATGTCTGTTAAGTCTTTTTTAAGCTACAGGATGTCTTTGGAGCAATTTTTATGTTGGAGAAATTAAGTTGTCCTAAAATTTTGTCCTGGTAGTTTTCCAGTCTAAATTTTGCTGATTTAATTCACTGGTATAATTTATCCTGTTCTTCTATATGTCCTATAAATTGATTGATCTAAAGGCTTAATCCAAATTCTATTATTTTTATTAGGACAACACCACTTGTTAGGCGATGATAGTTCTTTCATCAGGAACCACATAATATTTGGTTGTCTCTTTATTTGTGATAGTGTATGCTGTTGTTGTTCAATGCCTAGAACCATTCATTCATTAGGCCATTACAAAATGGTGATATTCTAACATTACTGCTTCTTTAATTGTTAGTCACAATACTTCTACAAAGAGAACATTCCCCTTATTTATTTGATTAACCAGCAGTATAGTTCATCTAGGAAAATAGGCTAAATGCTTAATTTTCCCCTTTATTTACTAGTTCTCAAAATAATGAGTTCATTACCTACCATCCTGCAGTGGTGACACGTTAATTTCTATGTGTGCATGTATCATTATGATTTCATAGATTTAAAAATTATTTGATGTATTTCAATCCATTTTAGTCATTATCCTAGTCCCATTTTTGGCTCATAGTCTCTCTTAAAATTGACTCCAGAGTCCTTCTGATACTATCCTAGTAATCTGATAGTTTCCTTGCTAGCTGTTTTGAAAAGTCCTTAATTTTTAACTTCAGTAGAATTCAGGTATCAGGAACTTTAAAAGCACAAATTTGACATTAAAACAAGATAAAAAATTACACAGAACTTACAGAACACACTACCACCTTTAATATTTTGTATTCCAAAATTATACATGACCACATCTGAGTCAATAAAATAATATCTAACACTCTGCAGTAGAAACACAACCATCTGCTGAATCAGTTACTGAATTAATTAATTAATTCTAGGAGGCAGAAAAAAATATTACCCACCATTAATACCATTTCTTCAAGGGAACTTCTAAAATAAGCTATGTACAGATTAGTCTTAGCTGTGCTGCTCACTGTTCTATGGCCTGGACAAGGACCTTATTGCTGTGCATATAAGGGGTGTTTTCTTCATCAAGGTGGCAGAGCTACTGGTATCTTTATCAGTGTAGTCACAACAATCACTCTTCTTTGCTTTTATTTTACTGTCTGTGCCTCTGTAGCTCCTAATGACCACCACTACTGATCACTTGTCCTCTCTCTCCAATCTGGTTTGCCACCTACCACTTACTCCAGCTTTCAGGGGGAAATTTGGCCTTCTTTTCTCCAGGCTCTTTTTTTCAGACAACAATAAACAAGACGAGAAACACTTTTTCTCCCATGTAAACTGACAATTCTGCCTACTATGTATGTTGCTGAGGTAATAACAGTAACTAAAAACAAACAAAAAATTTCTTGCAGTTTGGAATGTTTTATTTCTGCACAATTTCAGGCCCAGTGTCAAATTTGTACCCTAAGTCATCCAGAGATCAGTCGCTTTGCTTAAGAGACGATTTCAGTAGTTTTTTCCCCAAATTTCTAAAGCACTGACATGCTAAAAACTAAATCATTGTTACACTTAGTTTTAAAGAGGTTAGTGTGGATTTAAAATACACAATAAGCAAAGTATCACAGTGGAAGCTTGCTGGACCCACAAAATACACAACATAGAATGCAAAAACTGTTCTTCGTGGTATTATTTATAAGAGCAAAAATTGGAAACAACATAAATGTTCCCCAATAGAGTGATTAAGTTATGAAAGGTCCCTATATTTTCATTGTGTATTCATTAAAAACTTTTAATAACATGGGAAAACATTCAAGTTATAATGTTGCATGAAAAAGCAGGAAACAAAATAATACACTATGATTTCAACAAATGTGACTGGTGAAATATCTGGATTATGTATTATTTTTACTCTATACTTTTCTGTATTTTCAAAAAAATGCCTAAAATTTAAAAACTAAGAATATTTCCATTGCAAAACTACTTTTAATATTATTACTGCTAATATTAACACACTATCCCTAGTTTACTCTTACGCTTTCAGTTAGCCAAAAATGCAGGGAAAGTCACTTTTATGCCTAATCATCAAGCAAGCAAAAGTGCAACCTAGACTGGGTAGCTCAACTGAGAAGGCTACTGCGTGATTTTTCTCCAGAACAGAGTAAGCAACAGGAAATCTTTTTGTTTTTTAAAGTAAAGAATATGAAATGCTGACAACTTCCTACACTGCCTTTTGGCATATATCTCTACTGCCTTGCTTAATTCTTGTTATAGTATTTGCTCAGAAAAAGTAAAAAACAGCAATAACAATATCTAATATATTAAGGACTTACCAAACGCCATGCCCAAAATGATTTACCAGTTATAAATGACCACATTTGATCATTTATATTCCCAAACACGTATCAAAGCCATCTACTTCTCTCCATCTCCATTGCATATCCCAACCACAATCTTGTTTGCCTACATAACTATAACAGCCGCCTAATGATCTCTGTATTCACCCTCCTTGTTCCAACCCATTCTTCACACAGTAGTCAGAGGGATATTTTTAAAAAACATTAATTACCCTTTGTTAAATCTATGGCCTAAAAGGCTCTGATACCTTTCAAACCTCATTTCATACCCCACCACCCTGGCCCCCACAGCTTACCCCAGCCACAGCAGGTTTCTTTCTGCTCATGACTACTACTAGTCTGGCCTTCAGGGTTCCTATTTGCTCTGCCTAAATTGCTCTTTGCCCGTCTTCACCTGGCATGCTCATCTTCATTTTTCATACCTTGGCTCAGTAACCAGCTCCATAGAAAAGCTCGAGTTCCAGGCCCGCATAGCTGGCCCCTGCTGGCTGCTTTCCAGTCTCTCACCCTGCACAGTGCTTGTACAGCACTTAGATATGTTTTCTCATTCCCACTGTCTGCCCAATGGAGGTAGGAACTGTGTTAGTGTTGTTCTGCACTATACCACCAGCAACTACAATGCCTGGCACCTCTTTATTTAATGATCCTCACAAAAACCCTATCAGGCACATACTGTAGTTACCCTCAATTTACAGTTATAAATTCTATCATTAACTTGAACTACATAGAATCATGCTGTCAAGTCTGCCAAATGCTCTTTCATAACTGTCAATGTTCCTATTAGTTATTAAGGGAGGGGGGTCTTGGGGACAAAAGTCAAATTGTTAAAATTCCCACTCTACTTTTCTTATGGTAATACATATAAGCACAGTAGAGGCAGGAATAAATACAAAGGTTTAATTTCTTTTTATTTAAAAACTACACTTTCACTAATATCAGATTCAAGCAAAAGCATGTATCTATTAATTTAGTAGGTGGTACTTAAAGGAGCATCCCACTACCTCAAATTTTTGTCAAATGAAGCAAGGCATAAATACATGAAAAAAATAAGAACGTGCTCTATGCAAAACCAAAGAAACTTAAAACAAAAAGGATAAATTTACTATAGAAACTAAGTAGCATTTTTATTTGAAAGTATATGTTCACTGTAGATCATTTGAAAAATAAAGTTAAAAAATTTTTTCTAAAGAAACTGTTAATATCACAGTATATATTCTTACTAAACTTTTTTCTAGTTTTACCTAAAAGTACCGTAAGAGATTTTCCCGCGTCACTAAATATTTTTCTAAATTATTTTTTAAAATGGTTGCATATATCACCAGCCCATAATAAATGCACCACAATAATATTTAAGTTTCCAACTTTTTATAACAATGTTACCAATTTATTAC